ACCTATAAGAGAAAGGGGTGGAAATGATAGCACTTGATTCACAGAATGGCTCTGAGGATCCAATCAGCTAATATATACAAAGCTCTTTGTCAAACTTAATGGCTCCCAACAACAATATGGATCATAACCCCACATTTTTTTCATCCTGTATAATCTATTTCCTTTCACAAATTCTCTAAAGGGGGCCCCAACTAAGATGCTCAGGGATCTTCTAGCTTTTTTGACATTGACTGAATACAAATGTAGCCTGGGGTCACCCATTGTTTTAGACAACTTGCTACGCTGATTACACATCTCTCTCAATGTTCTTTATTTTGATTCTGTGGTATAATCCTTAGTTGGTAAGATATTACAAGCTCTTCGTATAGCCACATGTAACTATTCATTACCTTCTAGGTAAAATCTCCATGTTAATTTACTTATGTTTCTAGTTAGTACCTCACCTAAACGGAATATAATTCCTTTTGATTAATTTCCATTTTTTTGTTAATTAGGAAGTTGAAGGCTTTGGTGAATTTTGTCTCATAAAGCAATCCTAGTATTGATAGATTAATAAATCACTGGTTTAAACCAAAAAGTAGCAACTATAATAATACTTACGATTAATTATTTTTCTCTTTTTGCGAGGCAATTGTGGTTCAGTGACTTGCCCAAGGTCACACAGCTAGTATGTGCTGTGTGTTGTGTGTCTGAGACTAGATTTGAACTCAGGTCATCCTGACTTCAAGGCCAGAGCTCTACCCACTGCACCACCTAGCTGCCCTAAGTTTGAATTTTTTTCCTAGGAAAATGGTGGTTTTAAAGAATGGTCAATTATTAATTAAATTCAATAAGATCTATGAATAAAAAGCAATGTTAAAAATTAAGTAATTCAAACATCCTCAAAGTTTCACATTTAGAAATTTGAGTATCTATTGCAACAAATACCATTACAAAGAAGATTCAGTAGGACAAAATTATTTCAACAAAACAGAGGACAGCCTCTAAACTAGTCCAAAGTACTTCGTATAATGAATAATGTAATGTAAAAAAAAAAATTGCTTCCTCGGATCCTGGCTCAATTTGCAGTCACTTATAGTAACACAAGTACATCTTTGTTGTTAACGCTAAAGGCCGAAAAGGGGAAGAAGAGGAATTAGTATAATTTTTTGGGGGGTGGGACAGGAGGTAGAGATGGGGTGATAGTAGATACGACACCTTTAAAAACTCACTGACAATTTCTAACTCAAACTTTTAAAACTTCATTACTAAAAATCCCAATGAGAGACAACAAAGGAAATAAAGAAGTGTGGGTGGCAATTCTAATTTTCATACTGAATTCAAAGGACATTAATTCCTTGTTAATACAGAACAGAATAGATAAATCATAACTACATTATCATTCTCCCCATTCTAAAGACTGGAAGATGATTTACAGCAACGTGTTGAATAAATCTACAAACAAAATTGTTGTTATTCTGTAGTTTCCCTATGTTGGCTAAATAAAAGAATATGGACAAAAACTATATTCCACATACAGTGAGGGATTGTACAGTGAGGGAATACTCACATCAATAATACTGTTGTTCAGTCATTTCAGTTGTGTACAACTATTTGTGACCCCTTTTGGGGTATTCTTGGCAAAGATACTAGAATGGTTTCCCATTTCCTTCTTCAGCTCATTTTACAGATGAGGAAACTAAGGTAAACAGGGTTCAGTGACTTGTAAGGTGTCACACATCTAGTAAGTGTCTGAGGCAGGATTTGAATTCAGGTCTTCCTGATTCCAGGCACCACACTTTATCCACTGCACTATTTAGCTGCCTCTACACAAATACCAACATAATATCAAAACAAAATACCAATAAAATAATTTGGAAAGGACACATGGAGTTAGCTTTCATACAATTTTAAAATTACATTAATTTGAGGATTTAAAGATTTAGAGCTAAATGGGATTCCTAGGCCAACCTCTCTCATTTCACAGATAAGAAAACTGGAGCCCAAGCATGGTAGAATAACTTGCCTGTGATGACAAAGGCAGTAAGCCGAGTGTCCCTTCTTTGTGAAAAACTTTTCAAAAGCTACCTAATGACAATCAAGTCAAATTCAAATTTTTCGATCTGGCATTTTTTTTTTTTTAAGAACTTTTCTCATTACCTCCATTTCTAGTACTCAGACTGGAACATTCTGTTTTCTGAACACAGTTCTTTTCTCATGTTCTCCTCTTCTTTAAATCACTCGAAGGCACCTTCCTCTCAAGACTAGTGAATTCCTGTCTATTCTTCAAAATCAAATGCTATCACAGCATCATAAATTTAGAGCCAGAACAGATTAGGGATTAAGGCCAAAAGAGTTTAAGCAACTTGCTGCTCAGGGTCAAACAGCTAGTGCCAATGAAATGATCTGACTGCAGGTCTTCGTGACTTCAAGTTCAGCACTTTATCTATCACATCATGTTACCGATATCTTGTTTAAGATACCTTCACCTGGAAAGTGTTGTTGACTAGTCCAATCACATATAGCACAAGGACTGTACCACTCCTGAGCGGATATCATGCATTACAGGTGTTATTTGTGCATGCCATATTCCCAAATTAGACTATAAACTCAAAGAACACAGGATATCTTCGTCTAAACTCAGAATTCCCCTACAGCATCTAACAGTGTTACCTACATAAAGGAGGTATTTCATGTGTAAGTTAAAATATATAGTCTTTCTGAAAATTGAAAACCTGCTATAAATATCTAGTGATTATCATCAGATTAATGAGACAGGGAATGGAAAGAAAGGAACGGCTATTTTAGAGCATATTTTAGAGAAAAACTTGGAAACTGACCAGATAAAGGAAAGGTAGAAGAGAGATGAGTCAAAGGTTTCAAGTCTGTTTTATTGGCCTGTGTCATTAAAAAGATCATAATATGCTAAAGAACCGGGATCATAATATTATTATAATATTAGAGCTCAAAGGGATTTTTGATTGTAATAATCTGCTCTAAGAGCAGAAAGGTGCCACAGTAGATAGAGCACTGGGCCTGGGGTCAGGAAGACCTGAATTCAAATCTGGCCTCAAACAATGATTGGCTGTGTGATCCTGGGAAAGTCACTTAACACTGTATACCTCAGTTTCCTCACATGTAAAAAAATGAGGTAAAGAAGGTAATGGCAAACCAGTCTAGTATCTGTGCCAAAAAAACCCCAAATGGGGTCACAAACAGTTGGAAACAAATGAACAACAACCTGATCTAACCAAGTGGTGGGCTTTGGAATTAACGTAAAGACCTGTAAACTTCTGTAGTGACAGTTACATAAGCAAAACTGAATATTCTATAGTTTGAATAAATATCTGACACCCAAGATATTTTTCACACAAGATATAATATTAATAACAATAATAAGATAATAAATATGACTTATAGATATAATTGTCATTTAGTAAATACAAATTCATTTGTAACTTACTGAGTTCACAATAACTATATGCAATCATATTTTTTCAATCAACAAACAAATTTAATAGCTATAGTGGTTGGTATCGACACTTTTCTGATGTAAGCTACAATAAGAGTCAAAACTATAATCCAGGTCTCTGAAGTCTCCAAAATGCTTTCCATCTTCAAAATGCCTATTACACTGCTAAGCAAACAGGTAATAAACAATTAAGCACTTACAATGTGCCAGACACTGTGCTAAGCAATAATACAAATATGCAAAAAGATAGTCCCTACCCTCAAGGAGCTTACATTCTACAAGGGAAGACAACCTAGAAAAGAAGCTAAAAAGCAGAGAGAAAGGGAACAGGAAGGGCAACTGCTCAACATGGAATTATGATGGAAAAGTCATAGAAGTCACAAAGCAGTAAAATCAGGAAGGAAATGATAGGTCAGTGCAAACCACCTCCTGAAGTGAAGGTTTCAGTACAAACCACCTCCTGAAGTGAAGGTTTGGGAGTTCATGGCTCTGCCCCTCAATTACACATTTCCTACTTAGATGTGCTACTCTTGGACTTCTTCACCATGCCTCAGAAAGACCATCATTGGAAAAAATGTTATCATCATGCAGTATCAGTCCTGGTACTCACACCTTGTCACTGCTCTTTGCCATTCTTAGTAGAGGGAATATCCAATGAACCCAAAATCCACCCCTAACCCCACCCCCCCCAAAAAAATCACCAGGCTAAAAAAAAAAAAAAAATCCAATGAATCGATTAGTCACCAGGCTAAAAAGTCTTCATTCTTTAATGAACACAAGAACTGACAACTATTTATCTACTGAACAGTGTAAGTAAGGACTCAGATGTATAGCAAGATTACTATTCCTTAACCTTCCTTTAAAAAAAAAAGATGCTTATTCACTCGTACAAATGGCAAGAAGTTACACTTTAAAGGATTTATGTAAGATACTCCAAAATAACAATTTTATAAAAATTGTCTCAATAAATAAATAAAAGTTTTCCATGCAATTTACAGTGACTTCACTACTCAAGCTAGAAGTGAGAAGACAATTTTTTACACAAATGTGTGCAATTATATTTCTGTAGTTACATTTACAACAATGTACTACTCCCAAAACATAATATTTAATTTTTTTAATAAAGCTGGTATAGCCTTCATCTATTACTAAGCAGTCTGAAATCATTTAACATGGTAGTCTAAAAAGCTGTCATCTATTATGTCCACTCCTGCCCTCCCCAATGAATAAAATTCAGGCATCCCTTAGAGAAGAAGAGTGAAAGGTTAGCCAATTTTAAGAAAGTCACAGCTAATTAAACCAACTTTTTTAGGTAGAAGTTGTATCAAATGTTTATGTGATCTGACACACATAAATCCACTTTATCGTCCCTGAGAAAGAAATCAACATTTCTCTATAAATAGCATTGCACAAAAGAAAGAGAATTACTCACATTGGAGGGATAAATATAAAATCAAAATGTTTTCCCAACATTAATTGGACTAGAAATTGATAGGTCAGGAATCAAATGGGAAAATTCTACAAGAAATATCTAAAAATTATTACTTACTGCAGGTACCAACAATTTTTTTACTTCTTCAACAGCTCTCTTCAGTTTGATTTCTGCTCTATTCTGAGCATCTTCCACAGTGATTAGTACATGTAAATCTTCATTTAGGTGCTCCCAATTAGGTTTGCCTCTGTTTTGTTCCTCCTAAAAGAAAATAAAATAATACTTATATAGATCTACGACCTAGCTGATACCAATTCTATTCAATAATATCAAACATCCATTATTTCACCTTCTGCAAAATCCTGTTTCATCATCCCACTGACATGGAGGTGATGGCTTGAAGAGTTACAACGGTGAGAATAAATTATGTCAGGTTCTACCACACTGGAAAGATGTAATGTCTGCTGTTCAAGGACCAACCTAGATAATTGCAGAAGGCTGACTGAAACATAGTAATTTCATATACTGCAAAATGTAATAATAATATATTGTTACAAGGGCAATGAGGTGTTCTAGACAGAATGATGGACTTGGGAGTTACAAAGACCTTGATTCAAATCCTACCTCTAATATTTATTAGTTGTATGAACCCAGACAAGTCATTTAACCTGAGACAAAGAAAACTTTCAAAGAGTGAAAATTACAAACCATTGTAATGTGCAAAGATGGGAGCTCCATAGTGACAAAATCATGGGTGCTTGGTATATTGACAAAGAGAGTAAGAAAATTAATACCCTTAGTTCTGATGAAGGGGGCAAATCATCTGCTTGTATTTTTTTTCCTATTCAAAGCTTTTAAAGGATATGATGGATGACCATATTGAGTACAGAGAAGAAAAGCCATACTTAGAGGAGTTTAGAAAGGAACTATTCCATATTTTCAACCCAGGAATTTGAGCCTCATTAGCCACAAAGTCAACTTTGGTAGGGTATCAGTATACTGTGAAAATGTCAGTACAGAGTGGTATATGCCACCATTTTGCTATCTGTCCTTTTGAACTAGGGACAACTGCTACAATGGTGATTTGGTCCAAGGAATCCTCTCATTCTGAAATTCATGCCTCTGTCCTAACTCTATAGTAGGCCTGTCTTAAGGTTTTGCAATAATTCTAAGGGAAAAAATTAGGGGGCTCAGGCTCCTTTTCCTCTCTGTTCTGTATGGCCAAATGGGCATACATATGAATCAATAAATCTAATGTCTTTCAAATAATAGGAAATTAATATATAAATGGGGTCACGGAGAGTCAGACATAACTAAAACGACTAAACAACAACAAATTATATAAGACACAATAGAGTAGAGAAGCCAGCTAAAGGGAATTATTAATTATGTCCAAGATATACAGATACCCTCTCCCTCATAATAGAACATAAAGCTAAGTAGAGAACAGAGTAAGTATATACATTAAAAAGGTACGCAAAGCAGCTCCTGGCTACAACAAATGGAATGCAGGAAAAAGGACAAATACAGTATTTTAAAATTATTCCAAAGAAATATTTACAGATCACTTCTTTACCAGGCATGGGTACCAATAGATATGTCCCTTGTAGAAACATATGTTAATTATTCCCAGATAGTATCTGAAATGTAATGTTTGTTATAAAGACAAACATATATAGCCTCTAACAACACACTACAGTCCTGATCCTCCAATCCCACTCCTTAGAAACTGAATTGCAGAAATTTAAAAGTAGGAGAACTTGAGGATCCATTAATTCAATCATCTACCACTAACACATAAATCCCATACAAGTTAGCTTCTGTCTAATGCTTCCAATGCTAGGGAATGTCCTGAAATTGTGGAACATAACAGAGACTGTCATCCTTTCAACAGAATGATTAGGGATTGCTATTTTAAGACAACTTAAAGCTGAAACAGAGCAAGGTGACTGCTAGAAAACTGTGGATGCAGTTATGATGAGTTTTAATGGTTGAGCAAAAAGAAATTCTAGAGTTAAAAAAAATTTCCCTACACAATGTGTCAACTCACAGTTTTCTTGTCCCAAGTGAGGAATCAAAGTGCTGGACCAAGTTTTTTAAATATACGACAACTAGCCAACTTAATTTTTTAAATCACAGGACATTTAAAATAGCCTACTTTTTGTAGCAATGCCTGGCACATAGTAAGCAATAAATGTTTGCTGACCAAATACATAAATCAGGATTTTATCATATTGATACCACTTGTCACATACAAAATGCTAATTCTTTCAAAGAGACACCAGAAAACACTAGTGTCAGCTTATGACTATTATCATGAATGCCCATGATCATGTCAATCCACCTTAGATGAATTCTATCACAACAATGTCCATTAAGTATTTCACTTACTGAAAAATCCTACTAATACCTGGTTAAAAATATAGAGATAGATAGCCCTGTCATGAAGAGAAGGCCACAAGGAGTTAAATAGAAAAAAAATTCTATTGGTTATCAGATTGAACAGATAATTTCATCTTAAAGCTATTAAGAAATAGAGCATCCATTTGCCTATCTCAGTAGTTCGCTCCAATGTTTACTGCATATTCAGTCAAGAATTTGTTCTAAGTAGTACCTAATTGAGAGACCTCTCAATTTACTTAAGAAAGCAATTAGGTCACCCCCTTTGCCCTTTCTTCTCTCAATAAAATGTAATGCCTTTAATTTAAAAGTTATTTTTCATCCTTTGATTCATTTCATATTCTTCCTTAAATATCTCAACTGTGGTGACTTAATAGATAAAATATTGTGAGGCATGACACAAAAGATTTTATACATATACACACATACATACATAATATATACGTGTGTGTGTGTGTGTGTGTATATATATATATATTTTTTTTTTTTAAACACATCCTGGGAAAATTGTAGACATCCCTTTTCCCTCTCAAAGAGAACCTAAAACGTAGACTAATATTCAGCTAAGTTAAGCATGACATATGTGGAGCATCTTCCTTCTGTAGTTATATCTAGCCAATCCTTTACCATCCTATATTGGTATATTATTCTTTATCCCTAAGCATACCAGCCACCTCCAATTCTCACTACTGAGTTTAAGAATAATCTTGTAGGGCCATTTCTTTCATTGATCAAGAACAATGAGTTTGAATCATTACTTTAAATTATGTTTTGGTTCTAAATTCTCTCCTAAAGTGTTCAAACCACAGCTAAGTCTTTGGGCTGGCCCTGACAGCAATCACCCAGGGAAGGCAACACTGGGAGGAAAGAGTCATTTCATC